TTGAACTTTTTTTTATTAATATATTTTATTGATTTTTTTTTACAGAGAGGAAGGGAGAGGGATAGAGAGCTAGAAACATCGATGAGAAAGAAACACCGACCGGCTGCCTCTTGCACACACCCCCACTGGGGATGTGCCCACAACCAATGTACATGCCCTTGACCGGAATCGAACCTGGGACCCTTGAGTCCTCAGACTAATACTCTATCCACTGAGTCAAACTGGTTTTGGCCAGAATTGAACTTTTATTTGCAGCCTAAGCGAGGGCCCGGGGAGCACAGGTGGCGTGAGGAACCTCCTTGATTGTGATCCTTAAGTTTAAGGATCACACGAGGGCACACTGCCGAGGCGGACAGCACCTGCCAGTGGATGCGTGAGTTCCATGAAAGGCAGGGAGCTGGGCCTCTGATTAAGCTTTGACACTTCTGCACTATGAGAATGAATGAACTTGCACCAAATATTGTAGTTTCATTCATAGCTCTACTGAGCCTTCATTAAATAAAGGAAAGACTGAATCCAGAAAGTGGTGAGAAAGGAATTCCAAGGGGGCTCAAGATAAAACATATCAATCGTGTTTTCTCCTCTGACCCTGGTGGTGGCAGCCATGCCCACATGCCTCTGAATGTCCTTTCCTCGCTTTTTCTAACCCCGGCTGGCTTGTCTGATGCGCCCTGTGAATGTGAAGAAGAAACATGGGGCACATCATTTGATCTGTTGGAACAAATCCCTGCAGTCTGTGCATCCAAGTTCCCAGGGAAGAGACCGGTCAGAACATACATGTTCCCTGAAGAAATTGAACACACAGAAGGCATTGAAGTGAGCAAAGTTCTGTTTGGAATCTGAAGGAATATGGGCTTCCTCTGAAAGCACAGCATTCTGTGGAAAGTAGAGGAAGTCAGTAATCTCCACAGTGGCCCCAAGGACCAGGGCTTCTGACCTGCCGAGAGCCGAGAAACAAGGGCAAGCCTCTGGGCATTGGATTAGTGCAGACAAGTTACTAAAACAGCTGGAAGAATACACAAAGAGAGGATGCAAACGTGGGTTTGAGGGAAGGCATGAGAGGATGAAAGCTGCAAAAACATTCCAGCCAACAGGCAAGGACAGGTGTCCTGTCAGACCATTTCCTGGTGAAACCTGATCCATCCTCCTGACTCAGGGCCTGCTCACCTCATTTGTAACCAAGGGCCTGCCCCTGATTCCCGGGGCTCTCTGAGCAGCCTGACCAGAAGCCAGCTTTGCAGACAAAGGGGCCCGGGGCAGGCTGCTTTCCTTTACATGCAGCCAATCGCATCTCTCTGCATCTGACTTGCCTGGCGGCTGACGAGGCTGGTCCTGTGTGTGAAGCGTCACCCGTCCCTGCCCTTCTCCCTGCCCAAAAACACTAGGAGAGGGTGCTCCCATTTTCCAAGTCGGTCATCACTTCATTGCTCTGCCTTTGATCCCTTAGTGGAACTCAACTTTTGCTCCGGCAGCCAATTTGGGAGTTTGTCCAGTGAAGCAACAGCTAAGGCTTACGTTTAGAAGGCACCAGGAGAGGGACGGGGCCAAGGACTAAACTTCTGCTTATTTGTTCTGACACCAGGAAAGTGTGCCTGCCAGCCGGCCCCCGTGGGGAGCTGGGTGCCCAGCTGGGTGTCCTCAGCCCTGCCTGCATGGCTGTTGTGCATATGTTGGCATCAGAACAGAGGGCTGTCTGGACACATGGCTGACCGGTGCCCAGCTTTGTGCCTCCCCCACTGCACAGCCTCCTGTCTACAGCCCAGCAGTTGTCAGAGGCACAGAGGGTGCCAAGAGGGGCTTACGGAGGGCCTGGCGTTTGTGGGGCTGGGTGGGTGGATGAGGGGGTCGTGCGGGGGGAGCGTGCTCTGCTCCTGCCTGAATAAGCCCGCAATTACCATGGGGCGGGAGCCCAGGCCGTTAAGATGGTGATGGCATTCTGGTGCCAGACTCCTTTCAGTTGTTCACATCTTTCTTGCAAAATGATCTGTGAGGTTTACATCTATTCTTGCTCAAGGCAAATTTCCTTGGAATGAGGTAAAGATAAGGGGGAGGAGGGTAGGAAAAAACTCAAAAGCTCTTAGTGGAGTATTTTTAGCTTTATTAGACCGTTAAAGAGAGTGCTTCTCAGTGACGGGGGAATTTTCCAGATGCCCTTGAGCTCACAATGCTCACAGCTCGCTCTGTTGGGCGCCTCCTGGCTTGGCAGGTACATGCACACTGTGCTGAGAACCGCAAGGCCTCGGCGTTGGGGAAGTGCATGGCTTTGGGAAGCGGTAACCATATTTAGCTAGAGCACACTGAGCACAGGCAGTCCTCCCTTTCCCACAGTCCATTGCTCCCTCCTCTCTGAGAGGAAGTGCACCCCATGTCTTGGCGGAGAAACTCACCCAGGACCGGGCTGTCATTTATGGGGCCCAGTGAAAAATGAAAATGCAGGGTCCCTTGTTCAAACATGAAAAATTTCAAGATGGTGACAGCAGAGCATTCAACCAAGCATGGACCCCAAGCACGGGGCCCTGTACAACTGGACAGGTTGCACGCCCATGAAGCTGGCCTTGGTTCAGCCTTCCAATGTATTCAATGAGGATTAGCAAGCACTTGCTGTATCCTGCATCCTGGGCAGTGGGGCTTGGGGTTGGAGGCGTGGAGTGCAAAATAGACTGCCCACTAGAAGTTTACAATTTAGTTAGGGTGGGATATCATGCACACAAAATTAAGTAATGATGAGATCATTCTTTTCAAGCCCAGAAGGCCTTAAACTAATAATGGACGTCCTCAGAAAGCACACCTTCAGGTTACCCACCCAATGGAAGGGACCGGAGGCTGGCCTCCCTTGATCCACAGGTATCACGTGGGCCTGGAGAATGAAGTGGAGCAAGGGAAAGGAACTGGGCAGTCTGTCCTTGGTTTTGCCACACCACTCCATGGACAGCACACATGTCTTACTCCGCACTTATTGGACCTATTTTACCTCTTTCCTGTGACCCTGGAAGTAACCTCAAGGAAGATTTTATTTTCAAAATAGCCGCACTTAGATAAAAGGTTGGCCACACTTGGATAAAAGGTTCATAGGACGTGGGCCATGCTAGGCCCTTATCCTTGAGCTCACAATGTAGGCCAACTGAGCCAGCACATCTGAGTTCACAGGCAATAAATGGGCCCCTTGTGTCTGACGGAGGGGTCAGCTCCGAGGCAGCCGTTTTTCAGCCACTGGGCATCTACTTGGGCTTGGCCTAGGTTAGGTTCAGAAAACACATGTATGAAGTGTTTAGTCCTACCAAAACTGGTTTGGCTCAATAGACAGAGCGTCAGTCTGCAGATTGAAAGGTCCCAGGTTCAATACCGGTCAAGGGCATGTACATTGGTTGCAAGCACATCCCCAGAACTGGGTATACAGGAGGCAGCTGGTTGATGTTTCTCTTTCATCGATGTTTCTAGCTTTCTATCCCTCTCCCTTCCTCTTTGTAAAAAATAAGTAAAATATATATTTTTAAAAAAGAATCACCTGGTTTGGAAAAAAGAAAAAATGGTTCACAATCTGATATGGTGATCAAAGGGACAAGGATCCTTTCATAGAAACAGAAGGGCTCTCCTGCCCTGGCTTGACTGAGAGCTTCTGGAAAGTTCTATTGAGTGGGAAGCTCCTGAGCCAGCTGAGTGCCTCCATCACCAGGCTCTCTTTTGGCGACCGTAGTTGTTTCAGTTGACCGTACTCTCCTGTCAGACACCTGACCCCGCCTGCTCCCGTGGCTGTCTCTGGTCTTCAGGAGAAACAGCAGCGGCAGGTGGTCCTGTGGTGGCGTGTGGTTAGTCCGACGGTGTCATTCTCGGGAGCTGAGCAGAGGCGGTGTGGTCAGCAGCCAGTGAGGGTGCCCAAGGGTGTTTTCTAAGTCTCGTTATGAGGAGTGGGTAAATATTCTCATCTCTCTTATCTTCCTCGCCATTCGTCTTATTTCCTTTCTCAAGTTAATTTCAGCTACAGTTCTGAAAACAGAATTTGGAATGTGGATTTGTTGCACAAACGGCCCATTCTGTTCAGCAGCAGCAGTGTTTCAGCTCCTGCAGAGACAGCTCTGTGGTTTGGACTCTTGGATTGATTGGGAAGCATCTGGCTCACGTTCCAGATGGACCTCCATCCTCTCTCAGTTCAGGTCCCAGTCTTCCTGCCAGCGTGCCAAGCCAGGAGAGATGCCACTCTGCTGCCAGGGCCTGCAGCCTCGTGTCAGGGCCCTCGGCTCCCCTGTATGCCCCTGCCATTAGGCCACACCAGGGAGACCCTTCTTTGCCTTAGAAACCCTGGGGGCATCCACCGCTCCTCCCCACCCCAGCCCTGAGAAGGTATTAGCCATAGTGTAGAGCAAGCATGTCAAATCCAAAGGCTAACACAGGCCAAATGAACGAGGCGTGCGGCCCGTGGGCCGGGAGTTTGACATGCTTGATGTACAGTATAGCTCTGGGGTAGCAGGAATAATCCCGGTTAGAACCATGCTTGGTAACGGAGCGAAATTCTGGGCCTCTCACTTTTCACTGTGGATGTCTTGAGAAGAACCAGGGAGGGTCGTTCTTGAACTGGAGGAGACACCAGCATTCTCTTTTGTTGTTCCCTCTGTCTCCGTTAGCTGAGCTCTGCCAGGACATTGGTGCCTTGACCCTGGCCAAGTTCAGTAGGGCCAGTGGGCCTGGTCAGCTCGTCCCCGTGTCTCAGTATAACAGAGAGGCTGGTCTGCATCACAGGCACCTCCTGAAGGAATCTCTATGTCCACCCCCTCCCTGCAGCTCATATGTACCAAGCTGAACTCCCATGCAGTGATGAGGGCCACACATTCCATCCTTTAAACTCGCCTAGACAACAAAGGTAGAGGAACGACTCACAGAGAGCCCCCGATGTGAGGTTTTACAGCTGTTTGTTGTGACTAAAGACACCAAGACATAAGCCACCCTGGAACATTGCATGTCTCCTCCATCGAGGCCCCTCCGGCACCCCCCCCTTCTCTCCACAGATCTCCAGGACTTCAAGTTAGACGTGCAGCATGTGATTGAAGTAGATGAGGGGAACACGGCCGTCATTGCCTGCCACCTTCCTGAGAGCCACCCAAAAGCCCAGGTCCGATACAGTGTCAAACAGGAGTGGCTGGAGGCATCCAGAGGTGAGCAAGCAGGAGCCCGGAGGCCAAGGCTGGGAGGAAGCTGGCCACCCCTGACCACTGCCTCCTCATGCTGGTCAGCTGCCTCCGCCTTGCTATTTAGCCCTGTAGGAGCCTGAAAGGGCTGGCTCCCTTAGGGAGGTCCTCCGCCCTGTCGTGAGGAGTGTCTTGCTCTTGGAGGCCTGGGACGATGTTGCTGAGCTACGCCATTTGGTCAGGGTTGTCGGAACAGGTTCCAGATTTCCCCCGTGTGAGCTCCCGGCCACCAGGCAGACACAGGAGGGCTGCCAGCAAACCCAGCCATTCCTGCAGCTGCAGCTGCAGCGTGGGAGGTGGAGCTTGTCCCCACATGGCAGAGCAATCCTCGTATGGAACTTGAGTTTCTCCCTGTCCCCATTTTCCTGGTAATGCAGCCATTTCAGGGGGGCTGAGCTGTGCCCCCCCCAAGTACCAGTTGGGGGAACAAGATGCTTCATCCACAACTGACACTGCACGCTAGGCCAAGTAGACCATACTGACTGGACCCCATAGCTCAGATGTGTAACTTTATACACATTTTAAAATATTTTATTAACTTTTTCTGGTTATGAAAGTAATGTATGCTCATTATAGAAAACACAGAAAACTATTTCTTCAAAGGGCAAAACCCTAAATCCTGCCCCTCAGAAACATGTGGAGACTGTGGGAAGAACATTGACCTGTACTGTCCCCAGCAAGAGCCTGGAGTGGCCCCTAGAGGAAGCCAGCCCACGGGGGTCAGAGCTTCTCCCTATTCTGTCTGATATTTGCCTAAGTAGCTCATACCCGGGGGAGGCCGGTGCCAGGCTCAGTGAGCCCAGAATACAGGGATACCCTGACTCCCAGGGCAGGCCACCAGGAACTCGGAGCGGAGGGCCAGTGGTCCGCCTGTCAGGAAGCTGGACACTAATGGTGTGTTCAGCAGCGTGAGCCTATCTCCTGCTGAGAGAAGTTGAGCCCAGCCCTGCCCGCCCCTTCTCCCCCGGGGTCTCCCTGGCACTCCCAGCCCAGAGCACACAGCCCAGCAGGCCAGCGATGCAGAGGGGAGGGCTTCCGCTGCAGAGCTACAGGTTGGGGTCAGAATGTTCAGAATGTTCTCCCCGGTTGCAGAAATTCAGTGGTGAGGTGGCTCAGAGCTGTGACTGACAGGATGGGCGGTTCTGAAGTGAAAGCCCTCCCTCCTGTGGGCGCGACCTCTCAGCTCCCAGGTGGGCAGCAGGGCCCCTGGAGCCTGGCAGCGGCTGAGGCAGCACAGGTTGGGCCACTTCACAAACAAGGAAACAAAATCGGTGAGGTTATTACCTTGCCCAGGGTCACAACGTCTGTACAGGCAAGTCCAAAGCCCGAGTCCAGGTCTGGCCGACCCCAAGAGCTGCTGCCTTTCGCCCAAAAACCCTTCCTTACCTGTGAAATGCTCTTCCACAAACCTGTGACTAACCTGGGGGCAGTTACCAGCCAGTTAGCTGGTTCCTCAGTTGTTTCATTCCCTGGCCTTCTGCCCCCCTGGCTTCCAGGTTTTATGGGAGAAGAGCATTTGGGAGGTGGGCTTGCTGGGGCTCAGGGGTACAGCTCTTGGCCCCTGCCCCGCCCCATCGTGGGAGCTGTTGGGTGTGGTGTTTGAGGCCCAAACTCACCGTGTTCCCTTCCTGTTCTTTCCTCAGGGAACTACCTGATCATGCCGTCGGGGAACCTCCAGATCGTGAATGCCAGCCAGGAGGACGAGGGGATGTACAAGTGCGCAGCCTACAACCCGGTCACCCAGGAAGTGAAGACCTCGGGCTCCAGCGACCGGCTGCGTGTGCGCCGTAAGGGGCAGGGCCTCCTGTTGGAGGGCGGGGCCTCCCTGGTGGGGGGCGGGGCCTCCCAGTGGAGGGCGGGGCTTAGCGCCTAGGTGCCTGGGATGCCACAGCCTGGGGCACCGGCTGGTGGGACATCCAGGACTCAGCGGGGGTGGGACCTCCCAAAGCGCCCGCCTCTCACAGCCCAGCCCTCGGGCTTGTCTCAAAGGGGCTGCGCCTCCTGTCACTCACCTCAGAGCACTGTGGGGGACCCCCTCACCCCCTCACTGAGCCTGTGGAGAGCTTTCAGAGGAGGGGATGGAGGGGATGGAAGGGGAGTGTGGGCTCAGCAGCGGGCAGCGGGTGCGTGGGAAAGACGTGCTGCCTGGAGCCCTTGCGGAGGCCATCAGTCTGCACAGCTCCTCCCCCTGGTGAAAACCGTGGGGGCCCACACAGCCCCCGGTTTATGTGAGAACAGCTGCGTTTGCTGTGCACCTTCTGTGGCCAAGGCTCTTTCTGATCCCTGTGGACCCCGTGGAATAACATTGAAGGTGGAGTTAGGTTTGAGAGTCGGCACCAAAAGCAGGTTTACTGTGGAGTGAAGCAAAATTTCAGCGGTTCCTTGCCCGCCTAATTGAGTATTCTTTTCCTTAAAGATGGCTTCCTGAGCTAGATGAGTTTCAGGTGGCACAGAACCGGGTCTGTCCCTGGTTGGCACATACAGCAAAATCGCACACGGTCAGCATGCTATCCGGAGGTCCCCAGGGCGATGGCATGTTGGCCAGCAACATGCCTTTCAATAAGTTCCACCGGTCTCTCTCCCTGCGTTGAAAAGGGGTGCTGGCTGCTTCCTCAGCTGAGAGCCTAATGAAGCCGTTGGTTGGGGGGCCTCACAATGGGAGAAGTGCTCACCTTTAAACCGTAGGCCCTGCTCATGTCAGCGAGACGATCAGTGAGATGCTGCTTACACTGTGGGAGGTACTTGGTTTCTGAGGCCCGTGCATGGGGATTCGTGTATCCCATCGCCTCCTGTCTTAGAGTCCCTTACTGGGTGCAAGCAGGAAAAAACCTGCACCGGTTAAGTGCACCTCTGGCCACCCCTCATCCTTCTTCTCCCACACACAGCTACCCACACATACCCTTGGCCGTGATTCTACGCTGCTGCAGTCTCATTTGTAACAACTCCTGCAGGAAGTCCTTGTTTCTCATAAGAAAACCAAGGCCGAAGGGAATTCAGTAACTGGCCCTGCTTTACGTAGGTCATAAGCTCCTGAAGGCTATTTGGTTCCAAATCCGTGACCTCTGGGTCACCCAAGGCCGCACAGAAGAGGTCCTCCACCCCAAGTCCTGGTCCCTCACGCCGTCCTCCCCTCCTCCCCCTCCAGGCTCCACGGCCGAGGCCGCCCGCATCATCTACCCCCCGGAGGCCCAGACCATCATCGTCACGAAAGGCCACAGTCTCATTCTCGAGTGCGTGGCCAGTGGGATCCCGCCTCCGCGGGTCACCTGGGCCAAGGATGGGTCCAGTGTCGCTGGTTACAACAAGACGCGCTTCCTGCTGAGCAACCTCCTCATCGACACCGCCAGCGAGGAGGACTCAGGCACCTACCGCTGCATGGCCGACAACGGGGTCGGGGAGCCCGGGGCAGCGGCCATTCTCTACAACGTCCAGGTGTTCGGTGAGTGTCTCCTGCAGACTCCTTCTCCTGGGCCTTCTCTTGGGCCTGCGTGGCCTCTCCGGAAGCTCCGAACCCCAGGCTCAGGGTCACATGCCCCCTTCTGAGAGGTCACATGCGGAATGAGTGAGGAGTCCTGACAGGTGGAGATCCTGGATCCCAGGGACTAGGGTCGATGGGCTGACTGGCCCCCTGGGCCCTTTCCCGATGACTCTGATGGCAGAGACAGAGACCTTCCCTTTCCTCTGTCCACAGCCCGGGGAGAGAGAGCCTTTCCCGACCGCAGAGCCCCCAGCCTGCCTGGCATGGCCGGGGAGACTCGGCCTCTCTAACCCCGGCTCTGGTTTCCCGGCAGAACCCCCCGAGGTCACCGTGGAGCTGTCCCAGCTGGTCATCCCGTGGGGCCAGAGCGCCAAGCTCACCTGTGAGGTGCGCGGGAACCCCCCGCCCTCAGTGCTGTGGCTGAGGAACGCCATGCCCCTCGCCCCCAGCCAGCGCCTCCGGCTGTCCCGCAGGGCCCTGCGGGTGGTCAGCGTGGGGCCCGAGGACGAAGGCGTCTACCAGTGCATGGCCGAGAACGAGGTTGGCAGCGCCCACGCCGTGGTCCAGCTGAGGACCGCCAGGCCAGGTGAGTGCGGCGCGAGGGAGCGTGGAGCTGAATACTCACAGAACCCTTCTCTCCAGGGGAATCTAAAAAGGAACCCCAATGTGTGAAACCCCATAAAAGTGACTTTCATGGGTTTATATAACTTATTAAAAAGTCAGAAGTGCAGATTTTCACTAGTGAAAATGACCAATTTAGTGGTTGTATTATAATTTAAAAACACTTTTTCATTGTTTTGTAGAATCTGTGGGTTCATAGGGTTCCATGGAACCCAGTCTGACAACGCCTGCTCTGGCGTAAAGGAAAACAAGTGTGTCGTGAGCTTGATTCATTTCCCCTGACACCTGTAGCGACTGAGCAGTTACTGTGCTCAGCACTGGACTAGGAGGCCTGGGGAACACAGAGAAACATAACACAGAACTTAGCCTCGGGAATTTTTTCACGGAGGAGATAAAGTTTGCAAAGGAAATAATTGTAGAAAAGTACAATGACAAGGAATGAAATGCTAAGTCATTGCTGTCAAATGCCAGCCTCGCGGGGGGCAGGCAGAGGAGAAGCTCCCGTGGCAGAGTCTGTGGATGCTCCCTGAAGGAAGCATTGCCCTGGCTCCTCAGCTTCCCGGGGGCATTTCCAGTTGGTGTTCCACCTCCCGTTTCCAGGTCAGTGCAGTGGAGCCGGAGAAGGCCCGTGTGTGCCAGGGCGCTAACACCGCACCGTGAGGGGCATGCCCCAGCCCCAGTGTTAGACCTGAGAAAGAGGGCGCGGGGTTCCTGCACCCCAGGAGCAAACAGATAGTTCACTTCAGTGTGGAGTCAGGAACAAACAGATTGCAGACACGCTTGCCTGCCATGCCTGGGCCACAGCAAGAAGCCTGGACGTGGGCACCAGACTGCCTTTCCCTGCTGGAGGGCAGGGGCATGACCTTCTCTTCCGCGGAGCCTGTGAGCAGCCAATGGCCACGTCAGTCCTGCGCTGAGCGCTCTTCCTGCCCAGCAGGTCCTCTCTCTGACTTTTTTCTCCACGGGGGCAACAGCTCAGCGGGTGACCAGGGGACTAACACCCTCTTCCTCCCTTCTCTTCCCTGCTCCAGGCACAACCCTGAGGCCGCGGCCCGATGCTAAGCTGGACACTGCCACACTTCCCGTGCCACCCTCCAGACCCAGAAGCCCCGACCAGATGCTGAGGGGGCACCCAGGGCTCCCGAAGCCTCCAGCGTCCGTGCAGCCAGCTTCCCCGCAGTGCCCGGGAGAGAAAGGGCCGGTGGCGCCCGCCGAGGCGCCCGTCATCCTCAGCTCACCCCGGACCTCCAAGACTGACTCTTACGAGCTCGTGTGGCGGCCTCGGCATGAGGGTGGCAGCCGGGCACCGATCCTCTACTATGAGGTGAAACACCGCAAGGTAGGGTGCCTGGCATTGTGCCCACCCCCTCTTAGGCTGGATGGGGGTCTCTGTTCTCTCTCTCCCCTTGAGCTCCCGCCGCAGCCTGGACTGCCAACCCCACTGCTGGTCACGACCTCCCGCCTCCTCCAGGGTACTTTCCTACCACCTCCAGGAAAAGGGTGGCGCTGGGCATTTGAGACCCTACAAGACCCAGGAAAATGCCGTGCCTTTGCCTCCAGGTCTGGGCTTCATGCACAGGTTTCCCAGAAGCTACCACCAGCAGCTTCTAGTCCCAGAGGGAGCGACAGTCTCCCTGTAAACATCCCTGGCCTTCCCCTCCTCCCTCTGCCATTTGTTGTTGATGTTGTTTTGTTTTTGAACCAACCTAAGCTTCGCCTGGTGCATACCTGCAGGAACCCGAGAATGGTGAGCGAGCTCTAAGCCAGGAAAACAAACATTTGTGAACAGTATTTTCTCTAAGGCCTGTAAGGCACCCTCAGTTCTCAGACTCGTGGCTTGGGTTTGACAAGCAGGCGTTTGAGCTGGAAGCACATCGAGTTGTTCAGACCTTGACAGAGGCGAGTCTGTCCCGGTAGTGTTTGGGGAGCTGTCAGGAAGGACTGTGGGGCTGACGGGGTACCAGACGGAGCCTTCCAGCCCGTCGTCCTGGACACTGTGTCCTGTGAAGCAGCAAAGGGTCCCCAGACTGTTATCCTCACCCAGGGCTGCTTCCTCACCTGCACTGACCCTGCACTTCCTGCAGGAGGATGTCCTGGCAATCTGTTTCTGATCGCCCCACGTGCACGCTACCTTCTCTCTAAGGTCATTAGAGAGTAGGCAATTACTGTTTTCAAGTGGATTTCTAAACATCTTACTTGATAAGTGATGCGTTATAATGCTAGACTTTTTATGCGTTCCTATTTTTATTTTTTATTTATTATTATTATTTATTTATTTTTTTTTTTTGCTTATGAAAGTGCTGTGTGCACTTGGAAGAAGAATTTGGAAAATATATGAACATAGAACTAAAAGAGTTTATCAACTCTTCTTCCCCCTCCAAAAACAAAAACCAAAGCCGGCTCTGCATGGAGGAGACTCTGGCTATACAGAAGCCGTTTCTCCCGCCGGACATGCGGCCGCTCTGTGCCTGTCCCGCTGACGTGCTCAGAACAAGTCCACAGAGACTCTGAGGGGGTCGGAAAGACACCTCGGGCAAAGCTGCCTCCCAGGTGGGGGCCGAGGCAGGCAGCCTCTTACGGATGCTCGGCCTGCTGGCCTCTCTGTCGCCAGCCAGCAAAGGGGTTGAATACATTTTTAACAAACAGCACCATTGTTCAGCCTGGGTTACGGGGCCGGGCTGGTCCTAACCCTTGTTTCTCTGTGTAACTGGACACCTCCACCTTGGGGCTGTAGACAGAGATCAGGGCAGGCCAAACGCTCATGGTCCCCAGGAGACGGGAACCCGCGTGAGAGCAAGAATAATATTTTTCAGGCCAAGAGGTGGCCACCACACCGCCTGGCCAGGAGGCAGCTGGCAAAAGCCATGCGTGGTGATCCGGAAATGCCAGGCTGGAGTGGCGTCCACCCGCTCGGCGTGTGTGACAGTGACTGATTACCATTCCATTTCTTATTTTCATGTCTGGTCCCGGTGGCAGTGTGAGGCCAGGCCTGGGGAGTGAGCAGACACTGCCCATGGGGCCTCAGTTCTATGGAGTCAGCCTGCGGGGCACTTGGCGCTGGTAGGTGAGCACAGCCACAGCAGAAATAATGTCCCGGGAGCAGTCCCTTCCTTCTGGGACTAACGTGTCTTCAAGATGGTCACATCAGGAAGGATTTGGAAATAAAAGATATTATTATAGCATTTGGGTTGTTCTCTCCCTGGAGCCTGAGAACCAACCATTCAGTGCCTTTCCCCCTTTTCACACAGCAGAGTGGTTTCATTTCCTGGTGCATCTGCAGACCTTGGCTACTGTGTTTGGGTTTCCAGCACCACCGGGGATTCTCAGTTTGTAAAATCTTCTACCCCTGGAACAAATCCTGGACGCCTGACATTAATGAGCCCAGGCCCTGCCTGGCCCGTGAATAGCGGGGCTTGTTCTACTCTGGAATATTCTTCTTGGGACTGAGAGCTTTCCTGGCAGCCGTTTAGTTCCTTCAGCAAACCACACCTCGGGCTCCAGCAGGCTCTCTGAGACTGCACCGCCCGCCCGCTCGCAGTTGGGTCTGTCCTGGAGGTAGGGTGGCCGAGAGCGAGTGACTCGTCCTCTCAGCATCACCAGCCCAGAGGAGCCTGAAGTGCCCTTGTTGTTGTTTTTCTTTAAAGAGCTGACAATGTGAAGCCGATACTCTTCATCCATAATCCTGACAACTCATCCACACTTTTTAAGTTCTAAGCAAGGGGTGAGGGCGGGAACAGAAAAAAGGATTGAGAGGGCAGAAACCTCACAGAGCAGAGGGTGTGGGGCAGTCGGGAGAAGGGCCAGGCATTTTTTGGGAACCTCCTGTCTGCCCAGTTCAAATCTTGACAAATTTAATCTTCAGAATTACCCGAGAAACCTTATTTGCTTCATTTTACAAATGAAAAGCCTCGAGCTCAGAGAGGGTGTAGGGAACTTGCTTATGTCACACAGCTAGTGAGAGGGACAACCAGGATCGAACCCAAGATGTTCTGGCTCCCAGGCTGGTTTTCTTTCTCTAGAGGTTAAGATTGGGAGCTCGCGCTCACTGAGGATGTGGCCTTTGGCAAATGCCTCCTCTCTCTCGGGCTGTTGTCATGAAAGCACTGTGTGGTGTATGTAAAGTGCTCAGCCCCGTGCCTAGCACCTGGTGAATGCTCAGCAAATGCGGCCATTTCTACCAGTGCCGCTACTTTTACCATCGTCCTCATCTCATTAGAATAGAAACTGTTTACTTTAAATAGAACAAGGAGGAAGAAAGTGAAGTGAGGTTTTCAGAAAAAGAGAGGGGGGTCTTTGGAGAAATTCTCAGCAATATCAGTGAGGCCTTTTGAGCCTCCCCACTGGTTTTTCTCTGATGGGATCATTAGATGGGAGAGGAAGGAGCCTGACTACCAGGCATACCAGTTAATAATTTAGATTTTATAATCAAAGAAAACACAATAATTTCAAGAGAAACATCTAAAGTGCTTTATTCAAAGTGATGAACATCACTAGCTACATTTTCCTCATCTTTAGGTAATTTGTGGATACTGTCCCAATAGAACTTTTTCTTGTTTTGAGGCAAACCATTCAGAGACCCAATTTTCCAGTTCTTTGTAAGTTTTGGAGTGCTGCTCAGAAAGTGCGTGTGCCATCGATCAAAACAAGTGATAATCTGAAGGAGCAAGGTCTGGTGAATACCGAGGGTGGGTTAATATTTCCCAGGCAAGATCTTTTAACATGTCTTTAACTGGTTTTGAAGTGTGTGATGGTGTGTCATCATGAAGTAAAATTACTTTGCTGTGTCTTCTGGCCCATTCTGGACATTTTACAATCAAAGCATGGCTCAAATTGACTATTTGTTGTCAATAGTGATCAGTATTAAGTTTCACCAGATTTTAGAAGCTCATAATACACCATATCTTCCTGATCCCACAAACACAGAGCATTTGTCTTCTTTCTGAAGCGATTTGGCCTTGCAGTCAATGTTGATGGTTGACCTGGGTCAACCCATGATTTTGTGCATTTGGGATTCTTAAAATAAATCCACTTTTCATCGCCAGTCACAATTCGATGCAAAAAAGACTTTCATGCCATTGAAGCAACATTTTACTGATGACTTTTTGGTTTTCCATTTGTCTTTCATTCAGTTGATGTGGCACCCATTTTCCTTCCATTAAGATCTTTTCCATTGCTTGTTAATGATTGGAAATTGTTTGCTGAGAAACGTTTAATCTTTCCGCAAGTTGTTTTTGAGTTTGACAAGCATCTTCATCCAATAATGCTTGTAATTGTTGGTCTTCAAACTTTTTCAGTTGACCTGGACCTTCTTTATCTTTCACATCGAATTCATCACGTTAAAGCATTTAAACCAGCGTTCATAAGTATCTTGAGATAGAGCATTTTCACCATAAGCTTCCTGAAGTATACAATAACTTTCAGCAGCACTTTTCTTCAAAATAAAATAATGAATTAAAACTTCCCACAAATGCTCTTTTTTGGGCACAAAGTTGACATTTTTAAGTGTAAAAATATCTATGATGTTAACACCCTCAGCAAATTTGACATATGAAGTTTTGAAGCTTGCTGTCAATACAACAAAATGGCATACATATCAGATCACATACATAGCAACATTCTAATCTGTGTAACTCCATCTACTGAAAAAAATCCGCATTATTAACCGGTACACCTGGTATACTGGCCTATGCTCAGAAGACCCAGTCTGCACTCTGCAGCACCACTGCTCCCCAACCTGCCCCGTTCTCCTCCCGCCCACCTTCCTGCCCTCTCAGCTTATGTCTGCTTTTCTTACAAACCACAGCTACTGAGAGCTCCCGGCCAGAGGCCGGTCCTTATAACCAGCCGCCTTCTTCAGCAGGTCACAAACGCCTCTGATGATTGGACCGTTTCTGGCATTCCAGCCAACCAGCACCGCCTGACCCTCACCCGACTGGACCCCGGGAGCTTGTATGAAGTAGAGATGGCAGCTTACAACTGTGCAGGCGAAGGCCAGACAGCCATGGTCACCTTCCGGACGGGTAAGGGTCAGTCATTGCCTCAGCTTGGGGTTCCCACGGGCCTGAGAACATCCTCCCAGGCTCAGGTGAGACCACCACCCCCTTGTCCCACCACTCACCTCCCTTCCATGCCTGCCTCAGGTGGTTTGTGTGCCCAGGCTGAGGCCCCACCTCTCAGCAGGAGTGCCACCAGCCAGCCTCTCTGGCGCCTCTCAGGCGGAGCGGAGATCAGGCCCCACTTCCACTGCCCTGCATTATTTGCACCTCCTCCACAGACCCCCTGGCAGAAAGCACTCTGTGGAGAGGGAGACCCAATACTGCGTGCTCCCTCCTTGGCTGAGCTCAACCCGTTTCTACGCAGGACGGCGGCCCAAACCTGAAATCATGGCCAGCAAGGAGCAGCAGATCCAGAGAGACGACCCTGGAGCCAGCCCCCAGAGCAGCAGCCAGCCAGACCATGGCCGTCTCTCCCGTAAGCCCCCAGCAACCCCCAGGGGTACGCGTGGTGCTTTGCTCATAACCAGGACCAGGTCCAGAGCCTCAGGCTCACTGCTACAAGACGAATGGGCTCTTGGTCCTTCCTGGCATCTCCCCACGGTGAAGAAATACAGATAGAAACTTTTCAGATAAAACCCTGGAGTCCAGGACTGGGGTTACTGGCCCTGTGGGTGCAGAGGCCTTGGAGGGGGAAGCAGGTGGCCTTTGGCTCCTTCACACTCTGACCCGGCAGAAGGATGGCTTCTGCCCACGGGGTTCCTCCTTGGAGAAGGCCACCTAGGTGATCCATTTAGGTGACCCCAGGACCACCCAGTGCAGCCACTGGTGAGGGGGAGGGAGAAGAGGCTGTAAGGAGGAACAGGTTCCTATCAGGAAGAGCCAAGTCAGGCTGCAACATGACCATCTTCTCACCGTGTCTTTCTCCTGCTCCTTCTTCCCTCATGGATGGTTTCCCTCAGCCCCGGAAGCTCCAGACAGGCCTACCATCTCCATGGCCTCGGAGACATCAGTGTTTGTAACCTGGATTCCCCGTGGGAATGGTGGCTTCCCGATCCAGTCCTTCCGTGTGGAGTACAAGAAGCTGAAGAAAGTGGGGGACTGGATTCTAGCCACTAGTGCCATCCCTCCGTCCAGGCTTTCAGTGGAGATCACAGGCCTGGAGAAAGGTAAGGGCCTGGCCACTGACCTACTGTTCCTGGCCCCATCCCCTATGTCTCCCTGCACTGCCCCCCTGGCCACCAAGAGGAGAACGGGAGCTGTGGGGGTTCTCACTGCGCATCCTCCACCCACCTCTAGGCTCCCTTGGACGTTCTCAGTGGTACCTTGGTTCCACAACCCCCTCTATCCCTTTCTGATGAGGGTGGGAAGTCTCATGAGTCCTTTGGGGTTTGCTTTTGGGGAAGGTCTATCCAGAAGACCCCCCTCCCCACTGCCCCCTGCCCAAGTCCAGGGCCTGAATGAGCTGTGAGGAAGTCGGAAGGTGTTTCCCAGCTCCTGGGATCAGCGAGTGTCTCTCTCACCAGGCACCTCCTACAAGTTCCGAGTCCGGGCTCTGAACATGCTGGGGGAGAGCGAGCCCAGTGCCCCCTCCCAGCCGTACGTGGTGTCGGGCTACAGCGGCCGCCTCTACGAGCGGCCCGTGGCGGGCCCGTACATCACCTTCACCGACGCCGTCAATGAGACCACCATCATGCTCAAGTGGATGGTACGTGGCCTTGCATGGACTGTGTGGGGATGGGGAGGTGGGCTGAGTTTGTGTTGGGCAAGAAGGAACCACTGGTCTTCTCCAGCCTCTCCTCTAAGCCAGTGGTCGGCAAACCATGGCTCTCGAGCCACATGTGACTCTTTGGCCCCTTGAGTGTTCTAATGCCCATTCTTCAAAATAGACTCGCCCAGGCTGAAAACTGACTTCTGCGCATGGGCCACGAAGTTTCATTCGCACTGTACGTGTGCACCCGCACATGGTATTTCGTGGAAGAGCCACACGCAAGGGGCCAAAGAGCCACATGTGGCTCGTGAGCCGTTGTTTGCCGACCACTGCTCCAAGCGACCTCCCTTAAGTGTGTCTGTCCATCCATCATCATCCCCACCCAGGCAGGCTCAGAGGGGACTCAACCTTTTGGGGAAATGGCAGTTTGCTTCTTGTCTTCAAAGTCTGGGAGACCTCTAGGCTAAATACAGTCTTCTCCAGAGAGCTTTGGGGATGTCATCAGAAATGTCTGCGGGGGTCCCCTAGTGAATTTTGAACTCTAGGCTGGTGGAAATTCCCGTCCTCCCTGGCCACACCTGGTAATCCTTATGCTCCCCTGTCAACGTGTTTCTTCTCTATTCCCTAAGTACATCCCGGCAAGTAACAACAACACCCCGATCCATGGCTTCTACATCTATTACCGACCCACGGACAGCGACAACGACAGTGACTACAAGAAGGATATGGTGGAAGGTGAGAAACACTTTTGTGTGATTTGGTTTCCTCTGTTGGCACGGGGGCCTCAGGGTTGGTGAAGGTGTAAAACCTGGGCTGCCGTGACACACCGCATCTGTGCCCATATCAGTGGGAACACACTTGGGGTCATTCATAAACCCTCACGGTTCCTTCCCAAGGTGATGGGACAAGAGGTGATGGGGCCGTTCATGGCAGCAGCCCCGGCCCAGTCCTGAGTCTGACTGCCCGTGGAGACCAGGCAAACCAGGTCCACATCCCTATGTGTGACTGGTTCTCTCCCCCAGGGGACAGATACTGGCACTCCATCAACCACCTGCAGCCGGAGACCTCCTACGACATTAAGATGCAGTGCTTTAATGAGGGCGGCGAGAGCGAGTTCAGCAACGTGATGATCTGTGAAACCAAAGGTGAGGTCTGTGGGTTCTCTGCCCGCCTCTGTTCCGTGTGCTTTCTCCAGAAAGACTCCTTATTTTCCAGGTACCCCTAAACTTTGTCATTCTTGACCTTTCATTTGCTTGTGCCTCATATTAAGTACGGATGGTTTGCTACATGAAGGGTTACAGGAACCTGGGAACTCACTCACACATGAACTCATGGAGGGAACCCCTTCTTAGGGTAGAAACTTTCTATAAGCACTTTATTCCTATGATAACATTTGATGCTAACATTGGTTGATGTACTTAATTAACTACAACCCCATGAGACAGGAAAGGAAATGATATACCTTGACCAAGGTCATGACGCCAGTTAGTGGTAGAGCAACATTTTGGGCCACATTTGTCCAATTACAAGCCCAGTCTCTTTCTCTGATTAAAACATGTTAAACATATTTACCTATGAATTTATTTTCACATTGGTCAAGTGGGTAGATATTGTCTCCTTTTTGCAAATACTGGAAGTGGATAAAGCAGGTGTATTGCAAAGAACAAACTCAGGAGATCACCAAGGAATAGAGACAAAAAGACCCATTTCCCTTCATTGGCAACATCTCTCTCCACCTGTGCACTGCTTCCCATCTCTTAGCAAATACAGAGCCCCTGCAGGGTGCACGCCTGCCCTCTCCTGTGGTGTACAGCGCAGTGAGGGGCAGATACAGCCATGGCCAAAGCCCTGCATCGGAATGCCCAGGGCAAAGAACGGCCCTCACAAGGGTTTCACACCAGCCTTCTGGAAGATTGCATCTTGGGTAACTTAGGAGGGGGCGGCTTAGGGGACTGATCAAGCCTGCAAGCACCTCCAGGTGATTACAGAACATGGGCCTGGAAGGAGGGGAGGCAGCCCTGTGGGCTGTAGGAGCGCCATTGTTGGATTTGTTTGTTGAGCAGGGTCACTGGTGACTATGCAGGACCGGGCCAAGGGGCAAGAACAGGGTGTGGAGTACAGGTGAAGAGAAGGGATGGGTTTCGGCCTCTTTTAGGTTGAAATCATGGGCACAGATGAGAGCCCACAGAGAGTGCTGACCGACAGGGACCAGAGAGACCTTCCGGTGTCTGAGGAGAAGCCGGGAAGGAGGGAGCGGGAGGAGAGATGCGGAGTGCAGTCAGAGGCCAGAGTACAGCGGAAGGCTGAGAAGAGGGTTAACAATGTCTGACGCACCTCGATAGCAAACCCTGAGGAGTTCACCATCCTACCCTGATACCCTGGAATCAGCGTTTCCCAGATATCGTCTGCCCCAGGGAGACCCACCAACACACCTCTCCTCCTGCTCTGTGGCTCAGGCCCCTGCCTCATCCTATGCATCCTTTCCCCTGTCTGGAAGGGCACGTCCTCGGATGAATTCTTCCTTCCCCAGTTCTTCTGCTGGCTTCCTGCATTTGTTACGATTTCCTCCCGAAGTTCCCCAGCTCCTCTTTCAAGAACCCCACCCCCTGCGGCCCAGAGTGCCCAGCCTGGCTCCATGCTTGGCTCACGACCTCTGGTTGTGTTTTGAAATACAAGGTTCAGTTCTCAGTGGCTCCACATTTCACATGAGACGCCAAGGTCCTGCTGAGCTGGGACACCATCCTCGCCCGATAGAAGGTTCCGAGGCCCCATTTCCCACACCCAGGGAGTCGGGATGTTTGTTGTTTGTTGTGAAAGAAATGTCAGGGAAGCAGATGCTGACGGGAGTTTTGTTCACAATTGCAGCTCGGAAGCCTGGTCAGCCTGGCGGACTCCCGCCCCCAACGCTGGCTCCACCTCAGCTACCACCCCCTGAAACCATGGAGCGGCCGGTGGGCACGGGCGCCATGGTGGCACGCTCCAGCGACCTGCCCTACCTGATCGTTGGGGTCGTCCTGGGCTCCATAGTCCTCATCATTGTCGCCTTTATCCCCTTCTGCTTATGGAGGGCCTGGTCCAAGCAGAGTGAGTGTGCAGCCCTGCCCCCCACAGGGGAGGAGCTTGGGGAGGGAGGGAGGCCTCTCCCCAAGGGCAGGATCAGAGGTGCCTGCTTCCCATTCGCTGGGGCGCAAGCTCCTGGGCCCCCAGAGGGCTCAGGGAGAGTCACAGGACACCCAAGACGGAGCCCCTCCTCTCAGCTCTCGGACCCTGGCAGGTGGAGGAGAGTGTGAAGAGGAGGAGTTGGCCCTTCTGCATCTCAGGAGCTCGGGACTCCTCTGGCTCCAACTCCCTTTCACACTGAAGCTGCCGCTCTGTGTTCACACTTACCACCTCTCCCCTCCAGGGCTGCCCTGCACTCTCCCCCGCCCCCCCCCCCCCCCACTACGCAGCACACCTGATCCCCCTGGCCTCCCCTGACTATTGTTCCTCATGTTTGCTCACCTCCTCCTCCTCCTCCTGAACATGTGCCCCTGTTCCTCCTCACCCTCATCTGCGCTGCAAAGGAAGTCCAGCTGTTGGGGAGAAGTGGGGAGCATGAAGAAGCGAGGGAGAATATCCTCATCTGGAGGGCGGTGCCAGCTCCCTGCCTCCCTGTGGTCAGGAGTTTCCTGAGGTTCCTGTGGGGCTGTTTCTAGCTGCCCAAGCCCCCGTGACCTCAGCAGACCTCTGTCCTTCTTCCTTCCAGAACAGACAACAGACCTGGGCTTTCCTCGAAGTGCCATGCTGCCCTCCTCCTGCCAGTACACGATGGTGCCGCTGGGAGGACTTCCCGGCCACCGCGCCCACGGGCAGCCCTACCTCAGCAGCAGCAATGGACGGGCCTGTGCCAGTGGGGGGCATGGGAACAGGGGCTGCCCCGCCACTGCCATGGGCCACCCAGGCATGCGGCCTCCGCAGCACTGCCCCGGGGAGCGACACTACCCAGGGGAGCGGCCGCAGGTAACCGCCCTGGGTGTGGATGAGCAGATGCGGGCCGCCCTGGGAGGAGGGGGAGGTTGGCGCCCCCCTAGGCCTGGGCTGCGACTTGGAAGCGTCCCTTAATCAGGAACAGCTCGTCCTGCTAGAGGATGGACGGGAACCTGGCCGGACTCCCACATGACCTTGCCATCCCCCTTCCCTTTGAGCAGCAGGACGACACCCACCCCCTCCGGAGGCAGACTGCTCCTGGCGATGGACACGACGCCCGCAGTGCCCCGCCTCCCAGGTAACAGGCCGCTCGTCTCCATCTCCTATCTCCGTCTTGTCTCCCATCTCCTATCTCCATCTCCATCTCCATCTCCCATCTCCGTCTCCCATCTCCGGGGCTCTCCCTTTAGGCCCTCACATTCAGCACCAGCCACTGAGAGGCGGTGCCAGCTTTACAGGATCATTTAAGCTCCTCATTTCTTCCAGTGTTTCCCAAACTTTTGACATATGTAACGCTGAGTACCCCTCATACTCATGAGTAGAATTAGGCTCAGCTAAGCACGGTGCAGTGCACATCCCCACCAAACTCCGGTGCAATGCATACCCCCATCAAACTCTTCCCGTACCCCTAGGAGTACGCGTACCACACTTTGGGAAACACTGTTCTAGACAAAGTGGTCCCCGCATCTGACCTCGACAGCCTGCTCCACGGGCCTCTCCCACAAAAGGGGCTGTGTTTGCGGTTACGGCCTTTCTGCTCTGGAGCATGGGTCAGCCTCTCGGAACCTGCCCCTGCGTGGCGGGCTGCGGGCCCAGGCACTGCTGGCTTTATCCAGATGCCCAGACGCCACATGTTCTAATATACTTAGGACTTGCATGGAATACAATGGAGAGAAACTAGAATTACCTGTGGAAATGGGGTGGCATCCCTCAGTGCTCGTCAGGCAGCCATCCCTGCCCGTCGGAGCCCTGTCCCATCTCTGGTTCTCAGAAGGAAGCAGCCGGTGGTGGGGACATGGGCCCACCCTGCCTACACCTCACCTCCCATCCTGCCTTGTGCCCACAGGGGAGCCAGGGCCCGCCCCGATGAGGTCTCTTTCCTGTGCACACCGCCCGAGGCCTCAGCGTACCAGCGGCTGCAGGCCCACCAGGACGGCCGCGCCCTCCGGGAGCAGCCTGCCCCCGCCGGCCAGTCCGGAATGAGGAGTGGGCCCCAGAAACCTGGGATGGAAGCGACATGGGACCCTCTTTTTCACCCAGGTTCGTGCCAGGGGCAGGGCAGGACATTAAGGAGGCTGGAGATAACAGGAGGCAGGAATCCACAACCAAGAAGTGCCTTGGAGAGGGGGGGGGGGGCGGCGCTGGGGAGAAGTCGTTGAAGGGGGTGCTTGGGAGGGAGCTGTCCACGGCTTTAATCAGGAGAGACGCGGAGGGAAAGGGGTTGCCACCCTCCCGCCTGCCCAAAGGCCTAGCAGACGTGCAGGGGCCTACTGGTTGGGTCCTTCTCCGTCATCACGAACCTCATCCTCACAGACTAAGGAAAAGGTTGAAACCGGTTTGGCTCAGTGGATAGAGCGTCGGCCTGCGGACTGAAGGGTCCCAGGTTCGATTTCGGTCAAGGACCTGTACCTTGGTTGCGGGCACATCCTTAGTAGGGGGTGTGCAGGAGGCAGCTGATCGATGTTCCTCTCTCATCGATGTTTCTATCTATCCTCTCCCTTCCTCTCTGTAAAAACTCAATATATTTTTTAAAATAATAGCTATTATAAAAAAGAGAGAGAGAAAAGACTAAGGAAAAAGACACCATTCCGTTTCAGAGAAAGACGTTTTTTGGTCTCTGCATGAAGGCCATTCACAAATTCCTGCTGCCTCTCATGATAAGAGGCGTTCTCTAATCGCTCCAGAACACCCTGCTTTGTTGGGTCTTGTCTCTTAATTAAGGACTGAGGTTACATCAGTCATTAGGGAGCCAAGTTCCCAAACCATCGAACGCTCTGTGCTCAGTGCCCGCCAGCCCCCGCTCTGTCTTCCCTGGGCCAGTGTCTTGGAAATCAGTGGATTCTTGGGTGGGTGCCGGATGCTGCAGAGACTTCGGTCATGTTTCTTAGCCTCCATGGTGTGGATGTGGGTCCTCGTGCAGACCCTCAACTCTGCCTCTGGGAGATGGAACTCACCTCCTAGAGCCAGGCCCAGCACCACTGACGTGGGATGGCCTCCCCTGGGGGAATGGACTGTGTGTGTGTGGGGCGGGGAGGGGGGGAGGGGGGGGTCTTGACCGGAAATCGCCTTGTCGTGGCTGTAGGTTTCTCTCTCCTTTTTGGCCGAATGTGACCAGTGCCTCTGAGCGCCGCTCCCTGGTCAGTCAGGATGTTCATGTTCCCGTTCTCTCTCCCCCCGCAGGGCCCCCGTGCTGCTTGGGCCTGGCGCCGGTGGAAGAAGTGGACAGTCCTGGCACTTGCCAGATGGGCGGAGGAGAGTGGTGCCCTCAGCACCCCACGGGGACCCACAGAGGATCAGAGCCCGGGAGGCAGCTCTCCCCCAGCCCACCAGTGCACATATCTTTTGAAACACCACCCCCCATTGTTTAGGCAGAAGCCAGGATCCCAGAAAAAGACTATATATTATCGTTTTTAAAGAGACAGAGGAAATCGGTATTTATTTTTCTATAATAGCCATATTTATATATTTATGCACTTGTAAATAAAATGTATATGTGTTTTTGTAATTCTGGAAAGACATAAGGACTCCTCCCGTGGAGATGTGAGAGGTTAAAGAAGCCACCGCATACCAGGAGCAAACCAGGAACAAGGAACACGGACCGGCCAGCACCCAGACAGAGGAGGCAGCTCAGACCCTCTGCCCCCGCCCGGAAGGCTGCAGAGGCCCCCGGAGCAGCTGCCCCAGGGAAGACTCCCGCTCACTGTGCCTGAGGAGGGTAACGCAGCGGCCGTGGGGCGCACAGGCTGCAGACACCTGTGAGGACAGCCTCCCCCCCCCCCCCAGGCGCCCAGGGCCAGGTCTCAGGAGAAGCCCGTGAGAACAGACTCCATGTGTATAGTACCATAAGCATTAACAACCCTTCCAGAATCAATAATCTGCGGCAACATAGCTCTGTAAAAACAAACACTGTAACTTCTAAATAAATGTTTAGTCTTCCCTGTAACCTTCAGCTGAGTCATGCGTGAGTCAGCATTTTCCTTAGAGGTTAGGACTCAGTCTCGGAGTATCTGAAGAAAATACCCACTTGTGATGTTTTCAGATCAAGAGATGAGATCTGGAAAAGATGGATGTTTCTAATGGTTGTTTTTTTTTTTTTTGTCTGTAAACCCGGAATGTCGGTTGTGCTTTTATGAACGTGGAATGTGTTAGTAACTGCTGAGTCCAGGAGGGAGACAGTGTCCAGGAGGCGAGGAGAAGCAGAGTCAGTTCTCCTCCTGACTGGACTGAAGGTAAAACTCGGGTCAAGGAATGAAACGAATCATTTCTATGGAGGTCTGTGTATGCTGAAGACCAAGTATTTAGTTAAGAGTTATGCTGTTATACAGGTGGTGCCTGATAAATTCACTTCCCTTCTTTCCAAAGATCCACCCACATTGCCAGAGGTGCTGATTCGCCGCTTGTTTAAAATCCACATTTACTTACTGCTTGCTGCCCATCCACAAGATCCTTACACCCGGGACTACATGGAGGCTGAAGTTTGTAAGGTCCCTTCTCAATCTCAGTAGAGTTGAGATGCAGATGAAACACCACTTGAGACACACAATCTCACTAAGAGGCATCTTGCCAAACCCTGGCTTCTCACTCTTGTCATGGATGATGAGCAAGATGGTAGGAAAGCCCCAGGACGGATGCTGGTCTATAACAAGAGCTCCCTCTGCTGGCCAGAAGAAATAGCGTGCCAGTTGGTAGATTGGCTGTTACCTCCTCTATCTAGCCAAAGCTAAGTTGGAAAAACTCAAGATGCAACATGATTTTCAGAAAAGCAGTATTTTAAAAATATCTTAAGAAAGAAAGTGAAGAACTACAAGCAACATGCAAATGACAGGAAAGGAAAAGTAGCAGAGGTAAGAGAAATAAGATGTGACTTCAGACACAACCTGGGTGAGGGCCTGGGCTAATGCTCACCATCTTCTTTCAGCTAATTCATGGGGCCCTCAGGTCCAGGGTGCACCTCACCTTCTAGCCCCCTGGCTTTAAACAGTGACAGAAAGGGGACCAGCTAACACTCTCAATGCTAGCCTTCCTTGCCAATGGCTAAACATTCAGATAAAAACACACAAACACAGATTTCCTAAAGCAAAACAGATGAAAGATGCTTTCTTAGTGTGAGACACAGCCTTCTGAGACTTCACATTCAATCCGTTGGTTCCAAACAAATCTGAAATGGTTCAGCTCAATAACATGTTGGGTACTACATGGCTAGGTCTCATTTTAGACTTTTAGACACATTTACTTTAAAATAACAGAATTGTTGCAGGAGACAACTTCTGGGGAATTTTATGTCAGAAATCTTGGGTGGATTTGAGGGGAGGGGGGAAAGTAAACTTAAAAGGCTTCATTCATCTGTTCTCCGATCCGGTGGGAACTTGATGGGTGGGAGGGTAATGCTGCTTTTCTTACGCAAAATAGCAATCTCATGCTTTAAGGCCAAAATCCTATCCGCCTGGAGTTGGATCAAGTGAGTGACCTTCTCTCTTGCCACAATATCTGCTTTCCGGGGGCCCTGGAAGGCATTGCCCTGTTGAAAGAAATCGTTTCCTTACTTGAAGCATCTTTTTGGATGTGAAAACATCTGTTTTTATATATTGGTTGTGAGTGCCTGCCTTGGTCTATTTAAAAAGCCATTGCTCCTTCCTCTAAGGGGCCTTCATTCTTCTCCTGAAATCCCACCATTAGAAATGTGTTCCTGCCGGGACTGGTTTGGCTCAATGGATAGAGCGTCAGCTTGGGGACTGAAGGGCCCCGGGTTCGATTCTGGTCAAGGGCATGTACCTTGGTTGTGGGCATATCCCCAGTAGGGGGTGTGCAAGAGGCAGCTGATTGATGACCCTCTCTCATTGATGTTTCTAACTCTCTCTCTCCCTTCCTCTCTGTACAAAAATCAATAAAATATATTAAAAAAAAAATGTGTTCCTTTGCACTAACAAACAACTCTTAAAATGCAAGTATCCTTTAGGTGGGTAAGCCACCACTCATACCTTAGATGGCTTATCACTGGAATCATAAAAGACAAGGTGCTTCCGTTTTTTTATACAGCTTATAGTCTTCCCAAAAAGAAAATCATCTTTATGTCCTGCCCTAGCCAGTTTGGCTCAATGGATAGAACACTGCCCTGCAGACTGAAGGGTCCTGTGTTCAATTCTGGTCAAGGGCACTTAACCTCGGTTGCAGGCTCGATTCCTGGCCCTTGTTGGGGCCAGGGTAGGAGGCAGCCAATCAATGAGTCTCTCTCACATGGTTGTCTCTCTCACATTCGTGTTTCTCTCCCCCTCCCTTCCATTCTCTTTAAAAATCAATAGAAAAATATCCTCGGGTGAGGATTAACAACAGCCAATAATCACCTGTATGTCCTTATCTGATTTCATCCCCTGACCAGCCAACTCCTGCTCACCCTCCGGACCTCACTTTCAGAGGGGCTTTCTTTGCCCCATGGATGAGGCTAGGATCTCCTGCTCTGTGTTCTATCAAAACACCCTGTGTCATTGGCATCATCAGAGTGCATCATTTAAAATGTATGACATTTGACCACTTTTTAACCTAAAAGTGGCAATTTGTTATGGTTCCACCTAAACGTTTGATATATAATATTTCTTGGGAGATCCTGGATCTCACCACTGTGCCTAGTACTCGCCCTGGAACTTGTTACCTAAGTAGATGCACAATAAAATTTGAACATGAGCTAAAGGGTGGGACATTGCCACCCAGCTGGTATGTACTTTCTGCCTGGCACTTCCTTTAATCCTCACAATAACTCTGTGAATTCAGTGGTGGTGCTCTAGTTTTACAGAAACTGGGACAGAGATGCATGAACAGGCCCAAGTGATTATATTATTAAGGACCAGAAGCAGGGTCATAACCAGGTTACCTAAAGCCAAAAGCCCATGATTTGTTCATTACCCTCACTCATGATGCAAATAGGGGTTATCGTTACCCAATAGCTTCTCTCTTGCCTGCCTTCCCTTTAGAGACTGGGAAAGCTAAACACCAACATTACCCTGTTTCTCCACCAGCTAGGGTTGGCTGAGTGAATATAAGCAAAAAACTGGTGCTTTCTTATGAATGCACAGAAGGGGCTGGCAGGTGGATGTGAAACACAGACCTGACACAGCTGTTCTGTGATTCTAGAAGAACTTCAAAGAATCAGAGAGGCCGAAACCAGTTTGGCTCAGTGGATAGAGCGTCAGCCTGCAGACTGAAAGGTCCCAGGTTCGATTCCAGTCAAGGGTGTGTACCTTGGTTGTGGGCACATCCCCAGTAGGGGGTGTGCAGGAGGCAGCTGATCGATGATTCTCCCTCATCGATGTTTCTAACTCTCTATCCCTCTCTCTTCCTCTCTGTAAAAAATCAATAAAATATATTTTAAAAAAAGAAAAAAAAGAAAAAGAATCAGAGAGACACTGGCCCCTGATATCACAGATCCACTAAATCAAACCCCTTAAGTCACCTCTGGTCTTCTTGTTAAGTGAAAAAAAAGAAAAAAAGAAAAAGAAAAACACAAACAAACAAACAAACAAAAAAAAACGAGCTCTATTTGTTTAAGCTACTTTCAATGGGGCTTTTCGTTACCAGCAGCTAAATGCTAGTACCAACTCCCCAGTCATTCCAGGCAGTCTTGTCATTTTAAAGGCACCTTAATTTTCCCTCATTCTCCTCACCATATCCAAAAGGTTTTTGACTACTCTTACTTGGAAGTTCCTTTTGACACTAGCTTCTCACCATCTACATCCCAATTCATGCCTTGACTGTTGTAAGAAGAACAATCCAGCCAGCTTTGGAGGTAGACAGACCTTGTTTTAAAAACTCACTTTCTGTGCATTAGCTCTGAGAGCTTAAGCAAGTTACTGACTTCTCTGAGCTTTGAAAAGTAGTGTTTTGAAGATTAAATAAGATATCCTATGTCAGTGGTCAGCAAACTACCTCAGTTTGCCGCTCTGTTGACTTAGGAGTTTGCCGACCACTGGGATAGGGGCTTAATCACAAGGAACAACAACAGCCTGTAATTATTGGAATCGAGAGTCTACGTTAGTGGTCAACAAACTCATTAGACAACAGAAAGGCAAACCTTGGCTCGTGAGCTGCATGTGGCTCTTGAGCTGCAGTTTGCCGACCACAGTCCTATGTAAAGAGACTGCATGTGTAAAGATATACTGTAAAGATACACACTGTAAAGACATACACTATTAATTTTCCCATCCAATTGATCTCCTACCTCCAAACTCTTCCCAATGTATCTGGACTTATCAAAGCACATCAAGTTAACAAATGTTTACTGACTGCTTATTCTGCTTATTTGGGCATCAACTGTCTCAAACACTGCCTTGATTTTCTATTCAAGTGGATAAAGGGCCCTCAGTCTCCTGATTCTAAG